AGAGCTTCGCTACACTTCGCCTAGCGAGTTCTTTGCTACATAGTCCGCCTAGCGAACTTTGTGAAGTTTTCTGGGAAGCTTCGCTAGGAGCTTCGCACGACGAGTTTCATGATGTTTTTCTGCTTCCTTGGTTTCCTTGCCCAATTTCTTGTGTCTTAATTCACTTGTTTTGTGCCTAATTTCTGCACAATAACACACAAATCAAAGCAACCAAGGCATATTCCAACAATGAAGCAAATCATCTAAAACTTGAGTGATTCTAATCACTTTTACCCACAAAAGAGTGAAAGATGTCAATATTTGATATAGCAAATAAGCAAAGTTTGGCATCTAACAACTCTCTCCCACTAGATTTTTGCTTGTCCTCAAGAAAAGTATGTCTCTCCTTTCAAATAAGAGGATTTACTCAAGATTAGTATTCACCCAAGAATGGATAAAATGGCTCACACACAAAGAATGCAAACAAGCAATGGTTTCAAATGTTGAGAATAAAACAATGCACAAGAACTAACTTCTTAAAGCAAATATAAAGCCATGCATCAATCAACAACTATGTTTTTCATGAATGAATCACTCTATCTCTTCTCTTCAAATAAGGATTGAAGAAATTACGCGTTTGCAACCGCGGGGAAAATTTCACTCACCTAACAAACAATGCCAATATCAATCCAATTCATACAACATCTAACAATCAAAAATGAAAATATGGAAGCAAGGAGATCACTAAGGTCTTTAAGGTTGTAGTTTGGTCGGGTTTACAAACAAGGGACATTTCTAAGGCCATTGAAACGAAATTGTCGACGCAAAAGAGACATTCACTACACATGTTATTTACACATCCCAACTTCATTCCATTTGTTTCTCAATTGCAAACCTTCACACATCTTATTTCAAAACTTATTCTTTCACTATTTTTCTTTTCCAAGCAAGCATTGTTTTTCTCTTCTTTTTTTTTTACATTCATATTCACATAACAATTTTTTCAATGCTTGCTTAAATTTTTTCAAAAGTTGTAGCAACCTACCATCTTTCTTTTTCATTCTCCCCAACTTAACTTTTACTCAACTCTCAAGTGAATCCTCTTGGCTTTTTATGGTAAAGAGGACAATTAAAACAAAATTCAAGGGTTCAAGAAAAATTTTAGAATCTCACAAAATTAAGAATGAGATTCACATTGTTTAGGCTCAAAGGGGTTAACAAATTCTCTCTACTCACGGGTAAGTTGCATTTGGAACTGGTTGTGCTCAATAAAAATAAGTGCCTTGATCATTTCTAATGCTTCCAAAAATTCACAATGATAACAAGATAAAGCATGAACCACACGAATCAACAAAGTTTATCAAAAATCCAGCATTTAGTAAACAATGGAAGCTTTCTCACAAATTGTGGTTTTTGGTCCTAAGTGAAACAATCATTCAAACAAGTTGCCAAAAGAACAAATTTCATTTGCACAAAGACTTAAGTTCTTAAGCATTCTAAAATTATAAACAAAGGAAACCATGTACCTTGACAACATTCACTTGTTTCATACTATCATCGTCATCCAAACTCGGTCGAATCTTCATTGAATGCTTTTATATAAATAGCAACCACTCTAGAAGGAGTTCTCATCATTCCTAAGCACACTAGAAAAAACATAAAAAGAAACATATATATACAATATAAACAAATATACAAAGCTTAAAAATATAAAACCTTTGCAATGCACTTCAATATCTCAACACCAATCCCCGACAACGGCGCCATTTTGTTGGTGCAATAAAGCAGCAAGCAAAAAATATTAAGTACCCAGTTTTGTCGTCTCCATAGGAATCGATGCGATACGAACGCCGTTCAACGACCTCCATATTTCTAAGCTTATTGTTCAAAAGTTTTGGTTTAAAAAGTTCAAGGAACCACGGATAAAACATAAAATATAAAGACGGAAAATATAAAGTAAAAACAGAAATATAAACGGAGCCTTGTTGGGATTGGATATCATCAATTGATAACACATGCGTTCTTCTGATCAAATTAAACACAACGCAATCATTCGTCTAATATCCTCAGGTATCACCCACGACAAAGCTTATCTCTAACACAACGTTGAGAGAACAATCGTGTTGTCTCATGGGTGATCTCTCATCCAACAAAAACACAACACAAAGCATTAAGAACTGATACTTACGCAAATGCTAAGCCTAAACCTATCTCTAGCATTTAGGAACTAACACGTAATCATCCTAGATCCATATATGAAGAGTATATCTCTATCACGGTTCAAATCAAAGATAAATAGGTAAGCAAAGACGACACTCATATCGGATAAGCGATTGTTTCATATAAAACACAATGATCAGAATACGTACACACGCTTAACCCTTTTTACATGTATTCACCTAATTTGCCAAATGGTTATGAACATCGTTCTTCATCCCTATTACCACGCACCCGCACAATATCGTATTGATCCTACTCATGCTACCCATGCTACTTAATCAACACAATACCAAAGAGGATACAATGAATATCAATTTACAAAACCATGTCAAAAGTTTGTTCATTGATAGAAGAAAATCTGAGATCAAAGATGTGAAAAGGTTTTGTCAAGACCCACAAATAAGCAATCAAAGATAATCAATCAATAGAGAATCCAAACTAGTTCATAAACATATACTAGATGAAATACAAAAGGTATCAAAAGATTACATCCAAACTCCAACAAGAGATCAAAGATCTTACCTCCTCCGTCCTAGGGTTTTGTGTTTCTCTCTCTAAAATAAATGAAGAGAGATAAGTTGTGATGTAGAAAATATTACATAATAGGTTATGACCTAAAAAGTAATAAAAATACTTAAATAGTACATTCAGGGTCTGTCATGTTCTCCTAGCGAACAGATCCTTCGCCTAGCGAGCAACAAATTAAGCACCTGAGGTGCCTCTGAACAGTTAAACCGCCCCTGAGATATTTCCAAATATTCGCTAGGCGATGAATTCTTCTCCTAGCAAAGCCTTCGCTGTGAACTTCACCTAGCGAGTTTATGGCCCTTCCGCCCCTGTCTCAAGTCTGGGAGTGTTCGCTAGAGTTTCGCTACACTTCGCCTAGCGAGTTCTTTGGAAATATATCCATTAAGTTGGGACTAACACATACAAATAAGTAGTTACTCATGATGGTAACTCGACCTAAAATACAGAAGATCCTAATAATTATGTTTAATGGATAATAATAAATTGTGAGTAGTATGAGATGATCATGCTAGTATAAATAAGAGAAACTTAATTCCTGAAGTGAAACGATGATGAGAAAATATAAACTCTTAATGAGATATATACTTTGTATGAGTAGAGTGCCTAGCTACAACATCAGTCTTGATAAACTCACCTATATGATTAGGGAACATAGACTGGTTCATATGGGTAACTTAGATTGGCTCAGTTCACGATGGAGTCTGAAATGATAGTATTAACAACTACTATTGAAGTTGCAAGTTAGTTGAGATATTTTCTAGTTGAGATCCTTTTGTGAGAAAAATATATGTCAAATGTGTGGATCCAATACGATAATACTAAAACTATTGTAAAATGTGAAAAAAATTTATAATGGTAAGAGGTATCAAATAAGAAGAGAGCACAATACAATTAAAGAGTTTATCTCTATAGAAGCTGTAAGAATGGATCGTGTGTGAAACGATGAAAAGTTAGCTGATGCTTTGACAAAAGGATTAGCTATAGAGAAAGTCTATAATACATCCATTAAGTTTGGACTAACACATACAAATAAGTAGTTACTCATGATGATAACTCGACCTAAAATACAAAAGATCCTAATAATTATGTTCAATGGATAATAATGAATTGTGAGTAGTATGAGATGATCATGCTAGTATAAGTAAGAGAAACATAATTCCTGAAGCGAAACGAGGATGAGAAAATATAAACTCTTAACGAAATATATACTTTGTATGAGTAGAGTGCCTAACTACAATATCGGTCTTGATAAACTCACATATATGATTAGGGAACTTAGATTGGTTCATATGGGGAACTTAGATTGGCTCAGTTTTCGATAGAGTCTGAAATGATAGTATTAACAACTACTAGTGAAGTTGCAAGTTAGCTGAGATATTTGCTAGTTGAGATCCTTTTGTGAGAAAAACATATGCCAAATGTGTGGAGCCATTACGATAATAGTAAAACTATTGTAAAATGTGAAAAAAATAATATTAATGGTAAGAGGTGTCAAATAAGAAGAGAGCACAACACAATTAAAGAGCTTAATAGTATTTTACAAAAAGATTAACTATAGAGAAAGTTAGCTGATGCTTTGACAAAAGGATTAGCTATAGAGAAAGTCTATAATACATCTATTAAGTCGGGACTAAACATATAAATAAGTAGTTACTCATGATGATAACTAGGCCTAAAAGGGAAGCACTAACACAGATATGTTTGCTCTATATGAACATGCAAGATTTGTTGATATAGGTATGTTTGCTCCAGGTCCAATTTTGATACCAGCTAACTGTTGCATGCATTACTTATACAGAAAAAGCTATGCTTGATTAAAAAGAAATTCACATTGCAAACTCAATCCCCAACTCATCCAACATCTAAGATTGGGAGTGAATCTCAAATTTGTCTCTTAGAATTGTAGGACTCAGGTACTCTAGTCCTTCAAATAAGAGAAAGAAAAGGCCCCAATTTGTGAATTGCTTTCATTCTCAACCAAAATAACTTTTTGAATACTATTTAGTTTTAACTAACATTTATATGGAGTAATTTGACATTTATAATTATTTTCAAGAACTAATTCTATTACAAATATTCAACTTTAAAGACAATTGAAATGTTTGCCAAGAAAGGACAATGTCTTCATTAAAATGACACAGAATTTACAATTTCAATGCCTTTAAATTTCCCTAATTTGGGTGACTAATCTAACTAAGTCCTGCTACTTAAAAGTTAAAACATTGCTATTTTGATGATTGAATGCTAAAAGGGGCGAGCTTCAAATTAAGAATTTACAAACTATTTAACATAGAATAAATCTCATTAACCTGAGGGTGTGTTCTATCTTGCACAGAAAACTTATGAACAACTCCCTCCAATTCAATCCAACTACAACCTGGAATTTTCCTTAAATGTCTTTCTCTCATTTTTGTCCTAACCCTTCTAACATTATCCCACAAACCCAAACTAGCATAGATATTAGACAAGAGCACATAAGAACTTGCACTGCCTGACGTTAGTTGAATCAATTGCTGAGCTATGGGCTTTCCTACCGAGAACTTTTCATGAATTTGACAAGCACTTAGCAAGGTCTTCCAAATTACATCATTTGGTTCAATAGGCATTTTTTGGATGAGTTTTGTTGCTTCTTCGACAAGTCCGGCTCGGCTAAGCATGTCCACCATGCATCCATAGTGTTGCACTTTAGGTTGCAGCTTGTATACTTTTTGCATAAGCTCAAAACATATCAGTCCTTCTTTCAACATTCCAGAATGCCTACAAGCACTCAATACTCCGATGAAGGTGATATCGTCAGGTGTAATAGAAAGCCTTTTCATCTCCATGAGAAAATCAAAAGCCATTTCACTCATTCCATGAATCGCTAAACCACCAATCATAGCGTTCCAATGATCAACACATTTTTGTTCGATATTCTCGAACACTGATATAGCATTCTCGATGCTACCACACTTTGAATACATGTCAATCAGAGCAACGCCCAGATTATCACTCAGAGAGTAACCATTGTCCATTAAATAACGATGTATCACAATTCCATCCTCCACGCGTCCTAATTGTGCGACTGCTGTAAGAACGATCAACAGCGTCGTATCGTCCGGTAACATATCGGTCGCCCTTCTCATATCATGAAACAGCTTCAATGCTTCAATGCAATACCCATTCTGAACATAGCCAGCCATCATTGAATTACAACAAATGACGTTTCGCCTTGGCATTTCATCGAACAAACTCCTCGCAGCAACGACATCACCCGATTTAGCGTAACCATCAATCATCGTAACCCAACTGACCAAATCTCTTTCCGACATCCCATCGAAAAATGCCTGAGCATCGTCCATGTTTCCCCTCTTCACACAACCATCAATCATTGTGTTCCAAGAAACCAAGTTCCTCTCAGGCATTTTAACAAACAAACTCCAACCAAACTTCAACCCATCATCATCTTCACCACATCTCACATAGCCTCTAATCATTGAATTCCATGTAATCAAATTCTTCTCTTCCATTGGCATACCATTAAACAACTCAGATGCTCTTCCAATTAACCCGTATTTCACATACCCATCAATCATTGAATTATAAGAAACAGAATCCCTCTCAGTCATTCTATCAAACATTTGCTCCGCAAAATCAACACACCCACATCTCATAAACAAACCAATCAAACAATTCTGCAAAAACAAATCACACCCAATATCTGTCTTACACAACAACCCATAAACCTGCATTCCTTCTTTCATCAAACCCACATTAGAACAAGCCTTCAAAACAAGTGAAAAACTGTACTTATCCAAACAAACCCCATTTTCAATCATCAAACAGAGCAAAAAAATAGCTCCTTTTGGATCACTACCATGAGAATAAGACCTGAGAACAGCATTCCAGAGAAAAGGGTCATCATTTCTATCCCTGCCAGCACGTAAAGCATGGTTCTTGATGAAGATGTAACGAGCAAATTCAATGAGAGGCTTATGGGGTGAAGAAACGAAAGTGAGGATAAGTTTGGTAGTGAGTGAAGTGTTTTTGATGAATCCTGTTGTTATTAAGCGTGCGTGGATTTGATTCATGTGTTCTTTGGTTGTGAATTTTGGGAGCAAAATCAATGTGGGGATTGTTGAAGACCATGGTTGGTATGATGAAGAATTAGCGCACACAAGCATCAATGTTATTCAAATAAAATCGGAAAGTTTTTTTTTTCTTTCAAGTAATAAAAGTTGTGTAGTGCACACAAAGGTTGTGCCATGTTGATTCATGGAATGTTTGAGGGAAAAGGATAAGGTTATCTTTGTTTTTAGGGGGAAAAGGGATGGTCATGCTATCTTTTCTTTTAGGTCTCATGTATTTTATTTTACTAATATGTGTCTATTAATTTTAATCTTAACAAAGACTATTTCTAATTAATCTTTTATGGGATCTCATAATCATAACATTTTCATGTGAAATTGTAGAGAGCAACAAATAAGGCTTTTTCACGAGTTTGTAAGTATTATGTTCAAGATTGTCATCTAAATATCTTTATTATCATGAAATCGAGAGTGAATCTAGAAAAATTAACAAAGAAGTTCAAAGCGCTAAGTTTTGATAGTTATGATTTTACAAGGGTTAGAGGATTTGCAAGAGGAGTTTGTATAGCGTGGAAGACGGAGAAAATTGAAGTTATAATAATGGAAAAACACTTCAAATTCATGCATACTAAGATAAGATGTGTTAGAGGGGAGGATTGGTTCTTTACTCCCATATATGCAAGCCTTTAGGAAGAAGGAAGAAAAGAACTTTGGAAGAAAATGGAAAAGATTGTTGCCAATATGGCCAATGATTGACTAATTGAAAGAGACTTTAATGACATATTATGTGTTGCTGAGAAGAAGGGTGAATTGTCGACTTCCAAGCGAAAATGTAAAGCTTTCATGGATAGGATTAACACATGCAACCTTTGCGCATAGCCCGAACAAAGTCGATTATGTCAGAGGTACATTAACTTGGACTTTGGCCAGAGGTATCAAGTGCGGATAGTCCGGAAAAAGCCGATTATGCCAGAGGTATATTAACTCGGATTTTGGTCAGAGGCATCAAGTGCGCACATCTCAGACAAAGCCGATTATGCCAGAGGTATATTAACTTGGACTTTGGCCAGATGCATTAAATGCGCATAGCCCGGACAAAGTCGATTATGTCAGAGGTATAGTAACTTGTACTCCGGCCAGAGGCATCAAGTGTGCATAGCCCGTACAAAGCTGATTATGCCAGAGGTATATTAACTTGTACTTTGGCCAGAGGGCATCAAGTGGGCATAGCCCAGATTATGTTCTAGGACCGATTTATCTGTATTACATGATATAATTGTTTTAAATATAGGTGCCACATTAAAAACCATCTTAGAGGGAAAAGAATACACCTTACTGACTTTATTTACGATTCTTATTACAAAGTCTATATTACATTCCCACCCCGAGATATCTTACTTTCCTTCATTCCTTTTAAGCTTCGAGCTCTATTGTACGTGCCTTCGTTCCTTGGTGCCGCTTGGCTTTTCTTGAAATCTCCCATCTTTTTTGCTATTAAAGTCCTTCTTTAAAATGTCTCTTCTTTAGGATATTCGCCGAAGTTTCGGGATCTATCAGGACTGGCCTTACGCTCCAATCCCTTATCTGAACTTTGATCACCATTAGATCATTCTCCTGAGCTAGCACTTCTTTTGTATCCTTTTTGGAAAAACTGACTACGGTCGAACTCTCTTTTTCTTTCGAGGGCAATCTTTGTTCGATGTACATAACTGATCTAGCATACATTCTTCTTTCTGAGCATGTCTCTCCCCCTACGATGGTGTTAAGTATATGACAAGCTACTCGGGTTTCACGTACCTCGTTGGTATTCTTTCCTTTCTTCTGCGCCGAATTTTACGTATCGTTCTCTCGAGGGGGACTTCTTTTCCCCAACTCTCCCCCTGTGTCCTTGACATATGATAATATCCTACCTCTCTGAATCAAAATTTCAATTCCATTTTTTAATTGGTGACATTTTTCAATGTGATGCCCGCAAATTCTATGGTACGCACACCCCGCGCTTTTGTCTTTTCCCATTATTGCATGTACTCTTCCTTTTGGGAAATAGGTTAAGGTGATACACTTCCTTCAAAATATCTGAATGACGTGCATTTAACGGGGTACACTCAGGTTCTCTTTTGAATGGACGTCGGGAGGGCCTATGCGCCTCTCGGTCCCTAGCTCTATTTATGGGGTATTCCTTCTTGTGACCCAATCCTTCTTCTCCCGTTTGTGACTTTTCTTTGGCATCCCGTGACCTTTTTTCCATATTGTTTTCTTCTCCTTTGATGTAGCACTTTGCCCAGGTAATGACTTCATCCATGTTGGACGTCATTTTTTACGCTAAAGACTCATTAAATTGACCTGCCCTAAGATCATGTCGGAATGCTCTGGCAAACATCTATTGATATCGATGGGATACCTTGATAGTTTCCTCATTGAATCTTGCTAAATACTCTCATAGTGACTTCGAGTATCCTTGTTTAACATTGAATAAACTGGTAGTTGATACCTTTCGGTGTTTGCTTGCTGAAAGATGTTGCATCATTTTTTTAGTTAAGTCCCAGTAACTAATGATTGAAAATCTTGGTAGGCTCATTTACCACCGCAAAACTTCTTCCTTAAAAGTTTTGGCCATGATTTTACATTTAAGGGAGTCAGAGGCCCCTACAATTTTCATTTGATTATTGATTGCAATGATGTGCTTCTACGAGTCTTTCTTTCCATCGAAGGATGCTAATGCTGATGACTTTAAGTTTTCTAGGACTTGGTCATCCCATATAGATTATGACAGAGGTTAAACGTCCAAGGACTCATCTTCCGCCTCTCCTTCTTGTTGGTTTGAGTTTGTAGAACCTGCACACTGTCTTATAGGGTTTCGTTCTGCTGACGGGGGGCCTCTACCACCTCCAGTAACTAGGTTATGTATGGTGGTGGAGGTGGGCCGCTTTGACTAGAAGATGACCTGGACATTGTATCATTGAACTACTGATGATACTGGAATTTTTTGATTGGCCTAGGCAAGTTTTACCGAGACCCCATGGTGGACGCCAAATGTTCTTGCTAAAAACACTAAAATGGTTGACTTCCTTGTTCTAGGTCAAGGGGAGTCGAAAATGAATGGTTGGAGTGTTTGTTCTATCTGTATTTATAGGTTATTGCCCCTTTTTCCTTTCCAAAATGTTTCCCATATATAGGTCTCAACTTCCCTCTCTCCCCATTCGTTTTACTCTTCATATTCCTCATAAATATACCTCATAAATATCCCTCCAAAAATGTATGTTGTCTCCTGTAATTGCAGTGTAACACCTATCTCTTCAGTAATTGTAACTCTTCAGTCATAATGCATCATTCTATAACCATTTCTTGCGACCCTTCATATGGCATCCTAGCCCTGTCATCGAACCTGACTAATATGAGTGAGATAGACCCCAGTTCATATGAAGTCGGCTCTACCTTGTTTTTACAGATACCCTTACTCGAAATCTGACTCATAGGTAGGAATATAGCCTTCCGACTTGGTGATCTCCTCTTGCTTAGCTGCTCTTCCAACTCGACCTCTGAGTCTTTTTAAGACCTATAATCAGCTTTTTCGAGCTTATACCTCGGTTGGTCAACTAAATTTCTGGGTATGTACAGGGATGATAATTACTAATCTAATGATATGATTCCAAGGCACGATGTTTTAATTTTTTAAATATAAAAACAACATATTACCTCGGTTTTTTCATATAACCGAGGGAAAAACACATGAACCAACAATCTAGGAACCTTTTGTTTTTATTATATTTTTTATTTGTAAATATTCTTTGTAATAAATGAAATGTAAAAAAAAATAAAGATTATTTACCTCGATTTTCTATTAAAACGAGAGTTAAAGTATTTTACTTAAATTAAACATAAAAAACCATTAGCGATTTTGTTGATTAAATATATGTCGTTCATTTCATAACATATCAACGCTCAAGACACTACCATTAGTGATCCACGTGAAACATAAAAAAGTTCTATTATAAAAGCATATGTTTTAATATGAAGAAGCAAGTGAAGCATCTTGAAGCGCTTGAAACTATCTACGTCCACCTTTTTAAGGTTTGCAAGATCATTTGCCATAAAAAGATCGCCAAGATGGATGCAAGAGCAGTTATTTGGGTTTAAGATTTGTGTTCTTAAATATTTATTTGAGCAAAAATAGTTTATTTATCTAACATTTTTTTATCAACCTTTTTTTTATATTAGGAACAAATCCATGTGAGGTAAACTCATTGAGAATATAGTCACACCCAGTATTTGATCTTGCCCAAATATCAAGGATTTAAAGATCTAACATATGATCTTCATGGGCTAATTAATTTTTATTTTAATATTATGTATAAACAATGTAATATTGTGGGTACATATTGTAGTTTGTAAACAAATTATTTTATTAAAATTCTGTATAAACAAATAACAAGTTTTAATTATAAAAAAACAACAATTTATCTTACCCCTTGATTTTGCGGATAAACCGAGAGGTATGAGGCGGTGTTTTTGTAAATAATAAAAATGCAAATGTTGGGGTTCGAATCCATGATCAGATAACTTTACCCCTCGGGTTTTTTAAGTCGATGTGTTAAATGACATCTTTTCATGTCACCCTTTGTTACGTCACCTTGGTAGCTGATGTTACATCTCTTTCGCGTGTGACGTTAAAAGCGTTATTTGTAGTAGTGGCACTTCCTCTCTTTCATACTCTGAAGATTCAAGAGTGTGATTTTTATGGTACATAGTTGCCATTAGCATGACCTTCTCCACATAAATCACACTGTATCATCTAAACCTGACTAATATTGGTTGGAACAGTAGTGGCTCAAGCTAACTGTTTAGAAATAACCTCTAGTTGAGCTAACAATGTAGTATTGGAATCCAGTTCGAGTACACCCTTTAGTTTGACTCATCTTTCACTTTGTAAATGATACTCATTTTGGCACATTTTCTCCATCAACTCTTTCACTTTGTCTTCATTCTTTGTTTTGATAGTACCTCCAATTGAGGCATCTAGAAGCATTCTTGCTTGAGCTTTTAAACCTCATGTGAAATGTTGCATATGTTCCATACTGCTAATGTTATAATTTGGA